ACACACACACACACACGCACTTATTAGCGTGTTTTTATCAGTTCTAGCACCTCTCACACCACAGGGCCTAGCCAATATGACACACAAGTGTAACAAACTGGCCGTCTAATAGCTCGCACAGGTTTATTGACTCATGTTAGGAAATATTTACGACTTGTCTCATGTTAAATAACTGTGTGTATGCGAAGTGCTATTTTGACGCGTACTGTATTTTTCTGTTTAAGTGCATGTTTGTTTGTGTATGTTATTGTCTGTTCTCTCTGTGTGTGGGTCTGTCCCTGTTTGTTTTGTATCTGTATATTCATGTAGGTGTGCATAAATATAGTGCAGTTATTTCCCTTTTGGAAATACCTGCACCATAAATAATCTCCATGCACATGTAGGTGTGCACACAGTGTGGGCAGACGCCACAGATATGGCCAATTTTGTTTGTCTGTATGCGCCTGTACGTTTAAATGCTAATGTCTAAAATACAAAGTAGTGGAATACATGAGTAGTACAGTAAATATTTAATAGTCTGACATAGTTGCAAAAATGTCCCCACATAATCAGACTATTTAGCGTCCTCATTGTAAATAGCAGTTTGAGTTTATAGCACGATGATACAATCATTTATATTGTCTTCCGTCAGCAAGAGTAGCAATGCTACACTATGTTAAAATACTAAAATTTTACTTGGTAAAAGTAGGAGCAAAATAAAGACTCATATTGTCCTTCTAACGATTATATTATATTATTATTTCAGATAGATTAACATGTAGGCAACATTTTAATGGTAGTTTTAACTACTACTTTATACTATTGGGTAGTTATACTATTAATTTATAACAGTGATATGCATGTTAATCTGCACTGTAACTAGTAATATCCATCAGATACATTTAGTGGAGTAGAAATTATGATATAGTCATTTTAAATGTAGTTGAGTATAAAGTAGTATAAAATCTAAATACTCAAAGCGCTTGTACTTTAATGTACTCAAGTGTGTTTCTCAGTTGCACGTTAATGTCTTAGAGGTAGACAAAAAATGTTGTGTTTTGCAGTGTCTGTCTGTCTGTCTGTCTGTCTGTCTGTCTGCCTACGTGTGTGTTTACAGGTGCCTTAAGTGTCAGCCCCTGAGTTTTGAGTCTCTGTTTGTGTGTCTGCCCTCATGTCATGTTTTCATAACATCACTAAAGAAAATATCTCCTGTTCATTCAAAGATTTTAATCTTGTCACTCGTAGAAGGCCCACACTGTCAATAAGTTGCTTTGCACATGCTTTAATGGTGATAGTGGTGGTGGCGGTAGCCGCCATTTAACCAGCTTTTCCTGTTTCTGTGCTGCGTGAGAGTTTTTTTTTTTTTTTTGCATTTAAGGGTTATCTTCGTCTGTCGTTCTCTGTTCTTTACTCTCCATCCCCTCCTTAATGGCATCCTCTCCTTCAGCTTTTATCCATCTCACTCTCTGTTTCAACCCTTCTGTGTCTCTCCGTAAACAAGCAGAAGGCCAACAACTCTGTCCTCCGGCCGTCTCTCGCCATCCCGTTGCCATGGTGTATGGAGCATTGTTTGCTGGCCTCTATGTCGGGTTGCCATGGCAGGGCTTATTTGCCATATTAAATGTTTGGCAGCATTGTACAGATGCTGATGACAAACACCCAACATCCCACTTTGATCAATGAAACAGTTACTGATTAGAGGAGATGGGATGGAGCTACTGATCTATTTAACAACCTTTAGTTATAGCTTTCTCGTGCTGTATGTATTACTTTACATGCAGAAACATGTTTGTATACAAATTAAACAATAATATGACAAAAAAATTTGGGGGAAAAAATAGTATTAAAAACATTTAAATGAAACAAACTGCCGTAATGTTTTGTGTTTCTCAGTAGTGGAAATAGTGCACTTAAATTGTAACTGTGACAAATTGAATTTAAAGATATACCCTTAAATAAAGTGAATTTGTTTTACTATATAATGTTATAGCTTCTTATTGAAGTTCTTGACATTATTGAATATGACTAAATTATGAATCCAGTGTTAAATCTTTTCACATTTCTAATGTGCTATGATGTGCTTTCATTATTCCTGACAATATGGGGACTGGCTGAGATAAAAAAAAAAGAGGATATAGTACCAGGGTGTGTGTTTACATGTTAGCTTGAGGTTGATGGTGTTTGTGGAGGTGCTTCCCAAATGAGGATTTTTCCCCTTTGTCTCCCCCCCTTGTGGTGTGGGGTGAGACTGCATGGTGGCTTTTTTTTAAGAGAAGTGTCTGTATTTTACATGGCAAACTGCTGGATTTCTCCTCATTAAAACCTTTAGATAGACCTAAAATCGGTGTCTGTCTGTTGCCATCCTCAGATTGGACAGATTGCATTCATCACATACAGTAGGACTGATGTTTCCAGTTGTTAGGCTGTCAAAAGTAAAAGATTTCAGCACTTAAATGTGCATGGCCGAAGAAATGAAATGCACAAGAAAAGCAGTGAATGTGCAAAAGTATAATTGAATTGTGTAGCAAGCCTAGTTAATTGCTATCCTAATTTATTAATTTCTAGCAAATGTGTACTGTATTTATACTTGAGCTTGATGATTAGGTTACTTCAGGTCCAGCAACTTAGTGTTACACAACCTGCACCAACTTTTGACTACACACTGCTGTAACATGTAAGCGCTCCTGTTTGGTTACCAACAGATAGCGTGGAAATGCTGCCGATTGACGTAGTTGGAGCCAGATAAGATCTCATAGCTCCATTGTAGACGCACCACGGTGGTTTTAGTGGTTTGCTTTTCTTCTTTTGCTTTCACTGAAAGGCCTCAGTCTGCTGTCGCTAAAGGCAGTGTGCATTAGCATACCTGTAATAGAAAGGGCATCATGTGGTGCAGGAACTCCTTAATGTAAACTGTTACTACACTGTGTGTTTAGATAACAGGCAGAATAGACTAGCAGTTAGCAGCTAGTTGCTGACCTGCCAGTGCCCTCGCTGAAAAGTCATAAGGCAGTGTGCTAAAAGTGGAGCATAGGTCCAAGCCTTTGCTCTTTCAATGTAAAATACATTTCATATTCCCTGTTATGCACAAACACATTTAAAGTATTGGCATTTGACTGACGGTTGATGTGTCTCTCTTGTGTTTTTCAGATGATCTTGTGGGACTGGGATCTGAAACACTGGTACAAACCACAGTATCAGGTCAGTGTTTATTTCAGCTTGCATGCTTTTGGAGTTTAAAGGTACATGTGCGTGATTCTTTCAGGTAACACACCGAAACAATAAAAGTCTTTTGAGAGCGGCCTCTGTAGTCCACCAGTAAAATCCATCTATAAGTCACCTTTAGGACATTCAGTTCTGCAAAATACACATTGTGTAAAACCAGGCATACAATGACCTTGGAATAGTTGTCATGCCACATTTTATCTTACTCAGACATTCTTTGTCTTGTTTGGACTATTTGTGTAATCTATCAAAGAATTTAGCTCCCACTGACCAAAAATCATTATTTGTTCCTGTTAGACAGGGCCAAGACCAGCAGGAACATTTTCCCTCATGAAACCTGCCCTAAAAAACAGCAAGGGTTATACACCTATTTTGTGCTAGACTACTCTTAAAATGTATGGATTTTCACTTTAGACATTAGCAAAGCACTATACTTAGTTCAGTCATTTTATTATCCCCAATGAGAAACTTGACTTGCAGTCAGGGGAACAAGATAAAAACAAGTACAGACAAAAAGAAAGGTACAAAAATACAAAAACGTTTCCTCTACATACAGTGTACAGAATACATTAACACGACAATAGATGTCTTTAAGATGCTAAATTACACGTGTAGATTAAGCCCGGGTTATTGCACAGGGAACAAAAGAGTCTCTGCTCCTATTGTTCTTGAACTCTCTATCTACAGCGTGAGGGAATTATCTCAAATTTAACCTGGCCTTGTGGAGAACCCACTGGTCAAAGATAGCCATGACGGGGTCTGTGGGACACATTTCACCTTACCAGCTACCTATATGTATCAATGAAGCCCAAGTGGTTTTTATCACGGATTTTCAGGTTAACATACTAAGCAATCACCCAAAAAGAGTGGAACTGGATTAGACCGCATCAGAATTTGCATCAAATTTCAAGTTATTATCAATTACTGTTTCAAGATATTTATAGCAGTCAATCAATGACCATAACCTTGGTCTTTGTGGCGTTTAATCAGAGGAAGGCCTCACCACATCATTTTACAAAGTCATCTACCACTGGCCCATGCTCAGACTCATCTTTATGGAGCAGGTTAATAATAATTGTAGCATCAGTGATGGGCTCTAGATATAGTGTATTTTCCTCCCAATATACTGTAATTGTTGTTACTGTAAGAGGCTAGAGGAATGAGGTGGAAGCGGAAGTTAGAAATAGTACATAAAAAACTAAATTTGGAAAATGTGATTCCTAAATTAAATGAAGATGGAGCAAACAGAGGTGGGGGATCTTCATAAGCACTGTGTACACTACTAGCCCAAACAGCCCTGTTGTCCATATTACAGTAGTAATACTGAATCTGCCCACTGACAGTGCCTTTGTGTGCGTACGGCAGGGTGCAGTGAGCGGCAACGGCGTTGATCTTTCTGTCATAAACGAGGCCAGGAACATGGTGTCAGACCTGCTGATGGACTCGTCTCTGACGCCACAGACCATCTCAGCCCTGCGAAGCATCTCCAGCCTCATGGGGACATTTTCAGGCTCGTGTCGCCCCAGGGTCAACCCCTTCACCCCCTTCCCAGGTTTCTATCCCTGCGACGAGGTGGAGGACCCCGTAGAGAGGAGTGACAGGAAAACTATTAAGGTGGGTGCTTAGTGTTACTACTGCAGATAACAGAATAATACCATGTCTGCATTACGTTATGGCAAAAGTTGAACCAAGTTTTAACCACAAAGTTGTTTTTTTCAAGAACCTTCTGCTTGCTTCATTGAAATTAACGAATGTGGCTGCAGTTTTTCAACACTGTGCTGTTGTCAGTCTGGTCATGACCTACGTTAACAAACGCTGGTAGCTTTTTTGTGTTTGTGTAACTCAACCCGTATCTTCACTTTGTGTATAAAACATATATCTATACTGGAAAAACTTCCTTTCTCCATCAGGGTTTGAGCAGTAGAAACAGCCTCCCCACCCCTCAGCCCAGGCGGAGTTCCACCTCCTCCTCGTGCTCCTTGCTCCCTCCGCTTGACTCCGCCTCTTTGCGCTGGGAGCGCAACAATGGCAAGAGACCCCACCCTGACCTCAACTTGACCAGGTACCAACACAAACACAACTGTACTTTTTACCACCTTCCAGAAACACACATTTTCTTCAGAATTGCTCACACACATCATCTGGGCTGTTTTTACCCCGAATCTACCCAATTTTTGAACCAGATTAATGGCTGTTGTTGCAAAACCTGAATAATGTGACTGTACTCCAGCTATGGTCCTCCTCAGGTGGCTCAGCAGCAGCTGTGCACAGTAAAACAATGGTCTTTAATTTTTTTTGTCAGTCTAAAAAAAAAAAAGCTATGAATGGGCCTTAGTGAGTTCTAAAAAAGCAAGAAATCATTCATTCATTATAAAAATAGTAATAGAAATAGTACACTTCACAGAACCAGGTCAGCCGTGTATAAAACATGCTTATTGAGTGGACCAGGTGAGAAATGTAGATCACATTTGATTTTGAATAGAGAAGACAGATTTATATATATATATATATATATATTGTTGTCTTTTACATCCGTCCTTGACTCACTACACATCCTGACCCATATGATGCTACAGTATATCACAGCTGTATCGTCATATCACTGAGTCTAAACAAGTTTCTACACTCATCAAGTTGCCTCATGTTTCCTATGCTTAGGTGTTACTTTTATTGCCAGAGCAGAAACATTGGTTGTACTACAAACATTTAATATATGTCTGATTTGACTGATTAATTATCATGCAAAAAGCAAAGTTATTCTACCCTTTTGTAAACATGTCATTCTTATCTTTAGTACGTGTCACTGTCCATTCTATGAGGAGGTAATTTTCGTATGTTGAACCGTGAACAAAAACAGCTGCTTGCAGGTTTGGTGTGCTGCCTTTGTTGTGGTTTGAAGTTGTTTGTGTGAGACTGAGAAGCAAGACTGACAAGTTAGCTAGCTAACCCACAAATCCTGCTTCATGGGAGAGACCTGCTGTCTTCAGCTAAGAAACAAACAAGAAATTGTGTGAAATTGTGTTCCATCAAAATGTACCTGTGAGACCTGTGTGAGTTTCAGCTTGTACATAGAAACCAAAAGCAGAAGGAGTTGACGTGGTATAGTGTTGTTCCTTCTGTGAACAAAAACAAAGAAGTAGATCCACATTTCAGACAATCAAATAAGTTTTGCTGCATTTTTGTATTATAATAATTGTACCTGCAGCACCTTGATAGCCGCATGATTACAGTGCATGCCACATGGCCTTATGGCTACTACAACATCACATATTTGATTTCAGCCGACGACCTTTGTTGCACGTCATACCACTCTCTCTCCCCCGTTTCCTGTCTGCATCTGCCTCTCCTATGTAATAAAGAGAAAAAAAAACTGAAAATGAAAGGTGGTACCTACCATTTACATGCATTGATAGAACCTCAGGTGTCTTTAGTGACTGTAAACAGATCTGTTACACAATGCTCAATTTACTTGAACAACAAACATGGGACACTGCAGTGCAATGTCTGTATGTCTCCACAGGATGGCAGTAGATGATTAGCTATGATGGCTGATGAGCTTCTTTGAGTTGAATATCATCGTGTTCTTTTTGTTATTGAAGTGTTAGATGGCTGACTTGACAGAGGACAGTGTAGCCTTGTACTGTAGAGGCAAAACATCTGATAGTGAGACTGAGCTTTAGAGAGTTCTTTATATGTGTGGAAATAGTATGTTCAGACTTAAAAGTTCTATTTTAGAGCCTGTGTTGATTATATGTGTTTTGTGCTCCAGCCCAGGTCTGTCTAATGGGCCAAATGCAAACCTGCTCACCATTCCCAAACAGAGGTCTTCCTCTGTTACCCTCACCTACCATGCAGGGCCCAGAAGAGCAGGTGAGACTTACCTGTATAACTTCACAAAGACACTGCATTTTGATTAATTACTCATGTTTTGACTGCATCTCACGCCTCTCTCTTTTCTCATACTCCCATGGTCCTTTCCAGGCACATCTCCGAGCCTGAGCCCAGTCACCTCTCCAAGCCATGGCCCCCTCGCAGTAGGTACAGGTTCTTCATTGTCCCTTGTCACTCGACCGCCTGTGGAGTTCCCAGACACAGCTGACTTCCTGACAAAGCCGAGTGTCAATCTGAACCTGCACAAGCCCTTGGGTTATACTCTCAGCTCACCTGATTTCCAGCAGGCCTTCCGTAGCTCCAGCTTTCCTCTCTGCACCAGGTGAGACCTGCATGAATGAAATGTGTCGTTCATGTTATTGGTTCTAACAAAAAACTATGTACTGTAACTGGTCACGTCTGTGATTGTTGTGTTTGTGTCCATTTTAGTTGTGGTCGTCAGATGCTGAAGGGAGTTTCCAGCGGTGATACAGGGGAATCTCATCAACCATTTACCAGTGAGGCTCAACGCAGGCGCTCAGGTAAATACAGTTATATTTAATGGATATCAGTGTAATGACCAGTAGCATATAGTGTTGTTGGGGGTTTGAGAGAGAAACCATCCTGTAAACAGTTTAGGGGCTTAATGCTGCCCTCTACTGGACTCCAACAATAATGCAAGTTGATACACGTAAACAGGCAGAGATGCAAGGAATTCATGTTTCACGTTGTATATATTTTCCCTGTTCCTTGTTATATTCCAAATAAGGATTTTATTAATAAACGTAAATTATATGTAGTAAAATTATGTTGAAGTAAAATAATAAAATAAGTAATAAGACATCATCTTTATATATATATATATATATATACACACACTAGTAATTCAGCCCATTTAAATACTTGTAGGGTAAATAAACTCATTGAACAAAAAAAACTGCCACATATTAATTTAAAATTCAAACATGTGAAAGTAAAGTGATAATGCACTGTAAAATAAAAAAAAGTTTGCATGTAGGTGTACATGTGTCCATATACTTCCATACACTGTACTCTATGCATGCAGCAGGTGAAGGGCTGGAATACGCAGGAGAGCCTCTGATCAGGGAAGAGAGCGTGGAGGTGGACGTGTCTGGGGATGGAAGGCCGGACGTTGCAGGGAACCAAGGGCAGGAAGAAGAGAAGGAGAAGGAGAAGAGCTCGAGCACAGACCAGCAGACTCAGGAATCAGAGGTGTGCATGGTCAGAGGGCTTCTACTAGCAGCATGATCGTCTTTCAACCCCTCTTGCCACAGAATCCAGTTTTTGGTCATGAAGAGTTGGACTTGTGGTTGCTTGGAGAGTTGAACCCTCAACTATTTTACAGATATTCTTTGCTTAGTGTAGTCTACGTGTCAGACTATTTCAGTGTTTTTGAATGTTCAAGACGTTAGGTTTAATCTTTGCATTTTCTGATTGTCTCCAGGGTGAGCAGGAGTTCAGACTAGATCCTATGCTGGAGGACCATGAGGCTGTCATGGAGAGGATGAACACCTGGAACTTCCAGATCTTTGACCTGGTGGACAAAACAGGAGGGAAGACCGGAAGAATACTCAGCTATGTTAGTACAACCACCACCAACCAATCATCTTGTGTAGCTGTAGTAGTATGTGTTTTAATTAGTCGGTGTGTCTACTCCTGATAAATTCCTTTTAGAAAAGCAAAACGTTCTGTTAAGTGGGATATAGTGATCATTGCAGCCTTTAGGGCATGCTAGCAGGACCTTTAGCCTTTTAGTCTTAATTTAAGACTAAATACACCTCTGGGTATGTAAAGAATTTAAGGGCTCAGGGAGCAGGTCAGATGTATTGTTAGTAGAATGAAGTTATAAGTATTACAGACAGCTTGACAGTGAACTTGTTGTCTTTGCATAGTAATGTGCACAAAGTTATTTTAATGTTCCACAGAACATCAGTGACAGTGCTGGATATGTTGTGTTATGATTGGTGTTTCAGTAAAGCTGGCTTGTGTTTCCCCAGGTGACGTACACCCTTTTCCAGGATACGTGTCTGTTTGAAATTTTCAAGATCCCTGTGAGGGAGTTCATGACATACTTCTGTGCTCTGGAAAATGGCTACAGGGACATTCCCTGTGAGTGTTGCACTGTGCAGTATTCAAGAAATTCAAAGCCATATATTTGTTTTTATGTCTAATACCAGGATGGTCATGTGTATTACTGGATGAATTAAGTAGCTATTATATGACCAAGCTAAGATTTAATTTACACTTCTATTGTAACAAACCCATAGATCATAACCGGGTCCACGCTACTGATGTGCTCCATGCTGTCTGGTACCTGACCACTCGACCAATCCCTGGGTTCCAGCAGATTCACAGTGAGCATGTGACAGGAAGTGACACAGGTGGGCTCATAAGATCGCTCATTAGTTTGTGGAGCACAGTATTTAATCCAGACACATGGCTGCACAACAATCACTTTAGGCTAAATGCATGATTGCACCATTTAATGTCTGATGTTAAGTAGTGTCACACATATGAAGTAGTCTTAGTAGTCTTTTATCATTCAGTCTGCTTAGATTTTTGCACAAACGCCTGCACACAGGACTTCTGTGAACTCATCAATTAATTATTAAAAAATAAATAATAATCTTTTTTACATTACAGTTCCCAGTGGTTTCCTTAGAGTATAAAAACCTTCAAAATGTGGCTGGCATTGAAGATATAGTCTTTAATTAGTTAGACATTTTGGTATACCAAATACTAATGTCTTGTGGGAGAAGTCAGATTATGAGGTGGGTGAATGTGCATTGATAGGAATAATATCTGTAAAGTTAAACATCCAAGACATGATTAGTCTCACCTAAACATTGAACTTAAAGGTGTTGGGCCATATTCGCAAAATAATCTTACAAAGACATTTCTGATAAGGTCAACTTCAGGGAAACTTCATTTGGTCTAATTTTCGGAATAATTGGAATTCCTGAAAGAACGTTTCTGGCCTCCTGCTGGTCTGAGGTTGAAAGAGATGAATAGAAGTAGAATAAGAGGTAGAGAACTTTTTAAACATCTTCTTAGGAAAGTACACAGGATTTAGACAGACTTTGTGAATTCCACACCAAATAAAGAGATAAAGTTGTTTTAAAGTTTCCAGACTGGTTTGGAAGGGTGTACATTACTAAGAAATCCCTGACCAATCAGTATTTGGCCACCATCTAATATCAGAAATACAATAATTCGGACTTATTTTGTTTTGCGTTTTTTATTGGATGTGGCCTTTGCTCTGCAGAACACAGATGGTTTGGTTTAAAATGCAGAGATTCCTGGGCTCATCTCTGCTGATAATATTTTAGCTCCATTAGAAATTACCTGAGGCTTATCCACTGACGTCTCCCACTGAGGCCGGGAGAACAGCTGTCATTTGATGAAAGGGGACATAGAGACAGGGATGAGCAAATGGCAGTGATGTGAGAAATTTAGTTAAACTGTGAATAAATGAGAATAGAACAGGGTGTGTGTATATGGCCATATTCAACAGTTTCTATCTGTCCACCTTTTTTCTGCATTTGATGCAAACATATAATGTTTAATTGAGAAAAAGCTACCATTCTAACCTGATTTTACAATGATGGCGTAGGTCTATTTTTCATCACTGTGACATCCATTTTGTTTGTTGTCATGTTCCAGATTCAGATAGTGGGATCTCTCCAGGCAGGATATCCTACGCCTCCTCTAAAAGCTCCTCGATTTCAGATGACAGCTATGGCTGCCTGGCCTGGAACATACCCGCCCTGGAGCTCATGGCCCTTTATGTAGCAGCTGCAATGCACGACTATGACCACCCCGGTCGCACAAATGCCTTTCTCGTAGCCACTAATGCACCTCAGGTAACCTGCAGCATTCATTGGTATTTGAAAGAGTTGTAGATTGAATCGACAAACTTTAGTTTTGCTCACTGGCACCCATAAACACACTTATGTTTATGGAAACAAAGGATCAGATGTTCAAAATATGGGTTTTAGTTTTCACCACAGCTGTTGAACACTGTCAGAAGATAAATAGTATATACTGTACATAAGTTTGCTGGCTATCTTTTGTGAGCACTTTTGTATATGTGCACTATTATTGCAACAGTCCAAGCTTTCCATAGAAATAAACACTATCCTCCGTGGGTAATAATGAATTAATATACATTTTTCATCCTGCCTCTGCTGCAGTATCAGCGTTCATCCCTTTGTCTGTAGTTTCCTAACTTATCCACTCCATGATGTGAGGGTCAATGTTTGCAACAGGTTTGCAACCTGCCTTCTAACGGGGATATTTGTTCTTTCAAGACCAACAGACCAAGTGCAAATATCACGATTGACATGTTGCCCCCGAGACAAGCCCTGTGTACAAACACAAAATCACATGGCTGTCTTTCTGCAGAAGTGACAGAGTCTGAGTGGCCCCTGGTGGATGTTGCATTTCTGCTTTTTCCACTGATTCCACCTGACCCCAGAAAAACTGCCACACAGCACAAATAGTCATCACTGATGCACTACACAAGAAGCCACGCAAAGGCTGTGCTTTTCTTTTTTTTCTTTGAATCAGTTTTGGTTTTTAAATACCTCTGTATCACTTCAGTTCCCTCACATTGTATTCGTGGACCTAAAAACAGTTCACTGGAAAATTTTATCGTCATACATTACCGGTGTCCTACAGAAACCCTATGTCTCCAATTTTACAGTTAATCTTTAACTTCACAGTCAACAGTTTCCTTATATGACTTTTCCTCATGTGCTTCATCACTTCTTAACCCCTAAGCAAAGTTAATAATAAAAAAAAAACAAGTAGTAGCCTTTTGGCATTTCTGCTGGATTGATACAAATATCAGAGAAAAGAATTATCTTAACAAACTGTGTCTTAAATCATATATAGGATCAGCTCGACACCACATGGCCAGTTGTGGTCAGTCATGTAAATGAGGGGTGAAAAGGTTAACTGCGAGCCCCAGTTTAAATATTGTACTTTTACAACATGTCCTGTGAAAGCACTCACACTGTCTGAGTTTTTGTGAAAGTTCCAGGAAAATGGGTTAAGCGAAAAGAAAGGGAACCCTGAACCTATTGATTGCTAACGATGTTGGCAAGCACCATGTATGTTTTAAAAGGATCTTTCAAGCCTTTCATGGTATCTAATATCCCCGTAACCGCTTTTAACCTGCTTCTCTCTTTAGCTATACTTGGGGTTGAGCCTGTTACATTCCTACTTTTGTAACCAAATGCCCTCATGTCCTTTTTATCTCACTTATTGAGTGCTCGCTATTTTTAAACCCATTACGAATTGTGTAACACATGTGCAGACGTATTATGTAAGCACATTCATTACTGACATTTTAGGGGAAATTGTAGGAATCTTCTTAGCGTCCCATCTTTCCCCCCATTTGTCACCACTTGGCTTTCCCTCCTGTGCGTTGCAGGCAGTGCTGTACAATGACAGGTCAGTGCTGGAGAACCACCATGCTGCGTCTGCCTGGAGCCTCTACCTGTCCCGGCCAGAGTTCAACTTCCTGGTCAACCTGGATCACGTGGAGTTCAAGCGTTTTCGCTTCCTTGTCATCGAGGCTATACTGGCCACAGACCTCAAGAAGCACTTTGACTTCCTGGCTGAGTTCAATGCTAAGGTCTGAGATGAAGAAATCTTTACAGATTACTGAGTTATATGATCAGAATAGGTCATTATATATTTGTTAATCCTTTAATTTCTGGCTAAATATTGATTAAAATATTAAGAGAATGGTATGTTAAAATTGAGTTAAGCCATACTCAGCATAATGGATGCAGAATAAACCAGTTTACCAGTTTTAATAAAGCATCCATCTTTGTATGTTAACAGGTAAATGATGTGAACAGTCCAGGAATTGATTGGACCAATGAGAATGACAGACTGCTGGTGTGTCAAGTGTGTATCAAGCTGGCAGATATTAATGGACCAGCCAAAGTCCGTGACCTACACCTCAAGTGGACAGAGGGCATCGTCAATGAGTTTTATGAGCAGGTACTGACTGCATGCTAAAGACCCAGTATCTTACAGTAGTATATCTTAATATTGCATTTTTAATGCATTAATAGACTTAAGTAAGATTATGTCCCTTGTTTTTTATACTGTAATGTAATTGCACCACAAACACCTTTACACAGAACACATAACTGGCACATACATCTAATCCATCCTATGAACAACCATACCATAATCTTAAACATCCAGGACAAAGAAAAGAATCATAATGGACAAAAAACATAAAGCAGAGATTAATAACATTACAGACAATAGTCAATAACGGTAATGAGGTTCTGCTCCGCTGTGATTGTTATGTAGTTTGACTTTTACATCAAGGCTTATCAAGGCTTTTTTCAAACCGTAATCTTTGTTTGGAATCCGCAGGGAGATGAGGAGGCTAGGTTGGGATTACCCATCAGTCCCTTCATGGACCGCTCCTCTCCGCAGCTTGCAAAGCTACAGGAGTCCTTCATCACTCATATCGTAGGACCACTGTGTAACTCCTACGATGCTGCTGGCCTACTTCCTGGCCACTGGATTAACCAAGAGGGATCAGATGAAGACGACGAAGAGGGGCAGGTGGACACGGACACAGATGAAGAGGAAGATGAAGACGAAGAGCTAGAGGATGAGCTGGCACCAAGTAAGACACCGACAACTCATCAGCACTGTAAAGTGTATCACGCACAACAGATTACAGGTAGCCAATGTAGATTTTCTGAAACATTTTTCTTTTTCCATTACAGAAAGGAGGAAGAGCCGCCGCAGGCTGTTCTGCTGCATCATGCAGCACCTGACGGAGAACCACAAGGTGTGGAAGAAGACCATCGAGGAGGAGGAGAAGAGCAAAGAGCTCAGCAAGCAGCAGCAGCCCGACAGCCTGCTCCCCAACCTGCCAGCCAGCCTGCCCACCTCCCCGTCTGATGACATCCAGGTCATCCAGGAGGAGGAGGAGGGAGAGGAGCGTCAGTAGCAGGAGGACGAAGGAAAGAACAGAGATACGTGAAAAAGAAGAAGAGGAGAGGCAGCGTAAGGACATGAGTCCTGCCTTTCACCAACATAAAGACAGACACTCGCAGACAGTTGACAAATGCACATAAAACACACTTTGCTCCCTCTCTCTCTCTCACAGACACAC